CGAGCGCTCGGCGCGCCCGCGGGGCCAGGCCCGCACCTCCGGCCAGGCTGCCCGCTTCGCCTGCGAGGAGGCCGGGGCTCGGAGAGGTTGCCCCAGGTCATCGGCTGAGCGGATCGCGCCCGAAGCCGACCCTGCCTTCGGGGGCCCCGGTTTCTGTTGCTCCTCTACCCGCCCCCCCATCCACTGCGTGGCTTCCCATGGACCCTGTGGGCTACCCCTCTGCATGGCCCCGGCTCACTCCCCTTGTCCACGGAAGAACCGTTTTCAGTAATAAATAACCGCATAAGCCAGAACTCTCAGGTGTACATTTAGTGTTGATGAAATGCGGTGGGTGAGGCGGAGGGCGTCGGTGGCCGCCCCTGCGTGCTGTATCCTGGCGATGCCACACAGCAGTGTCCCGCAGCCGCCGAGGTTTTGTTCCTCTGTTCTGCGTGTCCCTGGCGCACCGTCACCTCTGTCCCATGCTCCCTGCAGATGCTTCGCAGCAGCCCCTGGTGCAGTGAGCCCCTCCCGTGCCCCCTGCACACACCCCTCTGTGCCCACTCCCCGCAGCACCCTTAACGCCACACTTGCTTCTCTGCACCCTCCAGGCCGCTGTCCCCGGGTTGCCACGGGAGTCTGTGGCTGCCTGTGTCCCGGCCTGGCCCCTGGCTGTTCCATTGCTCCTAAGCTTTCTGTTTAGTGCCTTGGTCTGTATTGCTTTTCTCCAAACTCCTCAACAGGTGCGGGCACTACCTGTTTAATAAGTAAATGTACACCCGCTGGTGCTGGAGTACTATGCAGGTGGGAACAAGGAGATAGTTCTACATGTTCTGCCATGAAATATTAATACCCATGGTAGATACTCTTGTCTGCTTTTTAAAAAGTATTGTTAAGATGGGGCCGGTGCCATGGCTCACCTGGTTAATCCTCCTCCTGTGGCACCGGCATCCCATATGGGCGCCGGGTTCTAGTCCCGGTTGCTCCTCTTCCAGTCCAGCTCTCTGCTGTGGCCCGGGAGGGCAGTGGAGGATGGCCCAAGTGCTTGGGCCCCTACACCCCATGGGAGACCAGGAGAAGCACCTGGCTCCTGGCTTCGGATTGGTGCAGCGCCGGCCGTAGTGGCCATCTGGGGAGTGAACCAATGGAAGGAAGACCTTTCTCTCTGTGTCTCTCTCTGTCTGCAACTCTACCTGTCAAATATTAAAAAAAATATTGTTAAGAGACATATTGTGGCGCAAAATTCCATAGATTAAAGGGATATAGAGTGAAAAGGCACTTCCTTCCACCTCTGCCTTCTGGTTCCTCTCTCCAGAGACTGTTCCATTTCTTATCTTTCTAGAAATACTGAATTCTAGAAATACAAGTGTGTGTGTTTTACCCATTTTTTAAAAAGACTCGCACAGTAGCATACGTAGGAAAGAACAAAATGCAGAACAGTATATGCAACAGCCTACTTGTATAAAATGTACTGTGTGTGTTTCTAGAGCTCGCTAGAATAATGCTGTCCACGGATGGTAGCCACCAGCCACGTGTGGCTCTTCAAGATTAAAGTTAAATAAAAAACAAAACTCAGTCTCCACTTGCACGGGTTTTAAACGTTCGTTGTTGGAGAGGCAGAGAGAGGGGGACAGAGAGCTCTCCCATCCACTGATTCACCCCTCACATGACCACAGTGGCTGGGGAGGAGCTAGGAACTGGGATCTGGATCCCGGCCTCCTGTAGAGGTGGCAGGGACCCGGCCACTGGAGCCGTCACAGCGGCCCCCCGGAGTGAGCATCCACAGGAAGCTGGCGTCAGGGGCCAGAGCTGGGTCTTGAACCCAGGTCCTCTGACATGGAACGGGGGTGTCTAAACCACTAGCCCAGACGCCACCTCTACTCTGGTTCTCATCACTTAACCCTGAGTCCTTCACGGCTTTATTCCCGAAGATGATTTAGCAGTGTGCGACGCCGTTGAGGGCCGAGTCGTTCCCTTACCACTGCTTCCTTTTTCTCCCGGCCTTTCTAACATAGGGAGAACAAGGAGGAGGCGCTGATCGACAGATTGGAGGTGGTCACCGTGCCCTCGCCGTCGCCACGAGGGCTGCCGGTGAAGCAGTTCGCAGCGCAGGCCCAGCTGCCGGTGCACGAGTGGCCGGACGTGGGCGCTGGGGAGTACGACGTGGGAGTCGTCGCCTCGTTTGGCCGACTTTTGAGTGAGGCTCTTATTCTTAAGTTTCCCTAGTAAGTTTTATTTTTAAGGAAATACAGGCTCGTGACCTTGGTCTGTATAAAGGAACTGGGCGTCTAAAATGTGATAATTTGAACATGAGTGATACTTTCTTTAGTAGCATTTTCTTTTAAAATAAAGACTTTTTATTTGTGGCATGAATTGCCAACATGTGTTAAGTTCCTTATCACTCTCTGTGGCCTTTGATGTGAATTCCACGTATGTGCTGACAGCTCCCAGGTTGGTCCCTCCAGCCCAGCTCTTGCCTCAGGTTCTAGCTGCCTAACACCTGCTTTCTCCTCCTAGCTCGGCCTGGATGCTCATAGGCACCTTATGTTCAAGATGCTCAAGGCTGCATTCTTGGACTTCGGCCTAACATCTGCTCCTCCTAGAATCTGTATCTCAAGAGGTGGCACTTCATTCTTCAAGTTGTATAGGTCCAAGAGCCTAGAGTCTTAAAGATTTATTTTATTTATTTGAAAGGCAGATTTAGCGAGAAAAGGAGAGACAGAGAAAGATCTTCCATCCACTGATTCACTCCCCAAATGGCTGTAATGACTGGGCTGGGCCAGGCTGAAGTCAGGAGCCAGGAGCCAGGAGCCAGGAGCCTCATCCGGGTCTCCTACATGGAGCAGGGGCCATCAGCAGGGTGTTGGATTGGAGGGATAGCAGCTGGCGCCCATATGGAATGCCCGCGTCGGAAGCGGCGGCTCTGCCGTCTAGAGCACAGCACTGGCCCCCTCGAGTCATTCCTGATTTCTTACCTCCCACCGCATACCAGGTCCATCAGGAAATCCTGCTGGCTCTGCCTTCAGAACCTGCCTGGAATCCGTCGTCATTCCCACTGCTGCTGCCCCCACTGTGCTGCCGTGGTGGCCTCCTCCTATTCTCTGCCTTCCCAGTGTCCTGCCTGGCCAGCAGACACTGCGGTCCCTTTCAAGAATAAGTTGGGTCACGTTGCTGTGCTCAGAAGTCTGGCAGTTCTTCATCCCGCTCAGAAGAATAAGCCAAAGCCCTGATGGTACCTGGCAGGGACCCGCGTGGATTGGGCCCTGCTGGCTCTCTGGCCACACCTTAACTGTTCCATCCTGGCTCCGGTTCCGTCTTGACCTTGCCAAGCGTTTACCTTCCTCAGGGACTTTGTACTTACTGTTCCATCTGCCTAAAAGCTTTTCTCCCTATGCCGCGTCTTAGTCCCTGACCCCCTTCCGTCTTGGCCCAAGTGTCTTGTTGCTAAGAACTTCTTTGAGCACTATGAAAATTGCAGTCTCCCAGCCGTTACCCCTGCCCGCTTCTCTGCTCTGTCTTCATCCACAGCCCCCAGCACTGTTGACCAGCTTTTATATACAGCATTTTGTGTTGTGTTGCTTATCTCCTATTCTTTGCACATGGGGTGCAGGATTTTTTTTTTCCTATTTAGTTTGCTGCCACTTGTATCCCCAGCACTTAGAACAGTGTTTGCACTTGGGTTGTGCCAGGGAATATTCATTGGATGAATAGGACTGGGCTGAACAGAGGACTTACAATATAAAACTTCACTATGTACACAACAGCTAATGTGCACACTGATGGAGACATCATTAAGCTAATTACAGATTAGTATTAACTTGTGAAGCAGTGGTAGATAGGTATATTAGGATAAGCAGCAAAGGTAAAGAGATCATTTGTTTGTTTCCCAGAAACCTTTTATTTAAGGTATGCAGACTTTATGCATTTCATAAATACAACTTTAGGAACATAGTGATTCTTCCCACCATAGCGACACTCCCACCTATACTCTTTTTTTTTCAATTTTTAAAATTGTGTTTATTTATTTTAAATTGACAAATAACAGATATATTTATGACATACAATTTGATGTTGTGATACACACACATATATTGTGGGATGATTAAATTAAGCCAATTAATATATGCTTCCTTATACACCAATTTTTTGTGGTGACAACACTTAAAATCTCTTCTACTAGCAACTTTCAGGCAAACATTATTATTCCTGTAGTCACCATGATGTACAATAAATCTCTTAAATATATTCTTCCTGTTTGGCTGAAATTTGTATCCTTTAGCCAACATTCCTCTAATCCTCGCCCTCTCCACCTCCCGTAAGTCTGGCATTCTCAATCTTGAAGTCAGGGTAGCATTTTAATAAAAACAAAAGTTTATTGGATGACTCAGGTCATACCCTAGATGTGTTGAAAAACCAAACGTGAAAGTACAGTTTAACTTGGACGCCTCCAGTTTCAAGCCTTCGCCCTGCTCACCTCTCAGGCTCGGCTCCTGGCATCTACAACCACACACCATTCCCTTGGTGTGCGGGACTTTCTCCTTCCACCCACCTTTCTTATTGTCTTTCCTTTGCTTGGAAAACCTCACTGTCTTCTCGAATACCCTTCCTATTACCCTCATTTCTTCACATGACCAACACCTGCTCATATGAACAGCACTTCTTCCAGGACAATTTCCCGAAGAATACTTCTTCATCCCTCTTATTCCCATTCTTATTTTTTACTAAGATCTATTTTCAGTTAACTTCATACACATAAGGTAAACTTTTATACTAAGGAGTTCAACAAATAGTATGAAAAAAACCTGTTCCTCAACAATTTTTGATTTCTCTTTTGATTTCTTCCATGACCCACTGTTCATTCAGGAGCACATTGTTCAGTATCCATGTGTTTTCATATGTTCTAGAGATTCTTGAGTTGTTGATATCCAGCTTCATTACATTGTGGTCAGAGAAGGTGGATGGTATAATCTCATTTTTTTTTTTTAATTTGCTGAGACTTGCTTTATGGTCTGCCCTGTGGTCTATCCTAGAGAAAGTTCCATGCACTGGTGAGAAGAATGTATTCTGTAACTGTAGGATGAGCAGTTCTGTAGGTGTCCGTTAGGTCTATTTGGTCTATAATGTCCATTAACTCTATTGTTTCCTTACTGATTTTCTGTCTGGTTGATCTGTCCATTGCTGAAAGTGAGGTATTGAACTCCCCCATTACTATTGTATGGGAGTCTATGTCTCCCTTTAGATCCATTAGCATTTCCTTTTTTTTTTAAACATTTCTTTTAAACAGCCAGGTGCCCTGTAATTAGGTGCATATACATTTATTATAGTCACATCTTCCTGTTGAATTGATCCGCTTCTTTGTCTCTTTTAACAGTTTTTGTGTTAAGGTCTAAAATAGATCACTTGATGGGGATTCTAGGAGTTTATTTTAGAAATTCTGTATACAAACTGAATGGAGAAAGGGTAATCATGTGACGGTAAATACAGTTTGTGTTTGTAAGATGCATAATAGAGTTTGAATGGTTCTCATATAGTAGTTTTAAGTGAATTTTAAATTTTATGTAAAAATTCCCAGAAGCTGTGAGCTATTGTGGAATATTTTTTTAAAGATTTATTTATTTATTTATTTATTTGAAAGGCAGAGTTACAGAGAGGCAGAGGCAGAGAGAGAGAGAGAGAAAGAGAGTGAGTCTTCCATCCTATGGTGCACTTTCCAGAGGACTGCAACGGCCAGAGCTGCACCGATCCAAAGCCAGGAGCCAGGAGCGTCTTCTGGGTCTCCCACGCGGTGCAGGGGCCCAAGGACTTGGGCCATCTTCCACTGCTTTCCCAGGCCACAGCAGAGAGCTGGATTGGAAGTGGAGCAGCCAGGACTTGAACCTGTGTCCAAATGGGATGCCGGCACTGCAGGTGGAGTCTTTTCCCACTAAGCCACAGTGCTAGCCCCTGGAATATCTTTTTAATTAAGTTTCACTCCTTTCTTAGGATAAGAGAATAAACATTGAGTTGGCCTCTGACTTTTTTTCCTTTCAGGTAATGTAAGACCAGATTAATAGTTTCTTTTAAATTTGGGGGAAAGTGTAATGAAAAGCAGGATGTTGGGGCCAGTGCTCTGGCATAGCAGGGTAAGCCGCTGCCTGCGATGCCAATATCCTATATGGGCGCTGGTTCAAGACCTGGCTGCTCCACTTCCGATCCAGCTCTCTGCTGTGGCCTGGGAAAGCAGTAGAGGATGGCCCAAGCCCTTGGGTCCCTGCACTGACGTGAGAGATACAGAAGACACTCCTAGCTCCTGGCTTCAAATTGATGCAGCTTCGGCCATTGTGGCCAAATGGAGAGTGAACCAGCAGATGGAAGACCTCTCTCTCTCTCTCTCTCTCTCTCTCTCTCTGCCTCTCCTTTTTTTCTCTGTGTAACTCTTTCAAATAAATAAATCTCCAAAAAATTAAATTATCTTTTTTTTTTTTTTTTTGACAGGCAGAGTGGACAATGAGAGAGAGAGACAGAGAGAAAGATCTTCCTTTTGCCATTGGTTCACCCTCAAATGGCCGCCGCGGCCGACACACCGCGCTGATCCGATGGCAGGAGCCAGGTACTTATCCTGGTTTCCCATGGGGTGCAGGGCCCAAGGACTTGGGCCATCCTCCACTGCACTCCCTGGCCACAGCAGAGAGCTGGCTTGGAAGAGGGCAACCAGGACAGAATCCGGCGCTCCGACCAGGACTAGAACCTGGTGTGCTGGCGCCACAAGGCGGAGAATTAGCCTAATGAGCCGCGGCGCCGGCCAAAATAAATTATCTTAAAAAATAGTAAGTTAACTGATAATGTCATGAGCTTATTTTAAAAAAAAAAGAAAGAAAAGCAGGATGTTAGTGCAGGTAGCAGTGACTGAATGATAAAGCCACTTGGCAAACTAATTTCTGCATTTTCGAACTCAGTGGCGTGTTGAACGTGCACCCCAGCTGCCTCCCGAGGTGGCGTGGGCCAGCTCCCATCATCCACACGGTGCTGCATGGAGACGCGGTTACTGGAGTGACCATCATGCAGATCAGACCCAAAAGGTGCAGTGCGTTTTCTTGGGACTCCTGTGATAGATGCTGATATCAGTCTGGGGGGAGGGGAGTGGGTGGATGCTACTTACTTATTTCTGTAGCACCAGAGTGCTTCCTTTGTTTTATACTCTGTGTTTTCTTCCTGGTTTCTCACTTGAGCCGTATGCCTGTGAGTACTCACACAGTGTCTCTCAAGTCGTTGTGAGGGGTTGGCATTTGGCACAGTAGTTAAGGTGCTGCTAGGGGCTCGCATGTCCCGTATCAGTGTGCCTGGGCTCACGTCCCAGCCCTCCCCACGTCACCATTTCCAGCATCCTGCTAATGCCCACCCCGGGAGGCAACAGGTGACAGCCCAGGTGGGTGAGTCCCTGCCACCCAAAAGGGAAACCGGGACTGAGTTCCCTGGCTCCTGGCTTTGTTCTTATCTGCTCCCAACTAACTGTTGTGGACATTTCAGGAGTGAACCAGTAAATGGGAGATCTCTTTCTCTCTCTCTCTCTGCCTTTCAAATAAGTAAAATTAAATAAATTCAAGGTTTTCTACATGTGAAAATATTTTTAAATGTGAAAATTTTAGCTTGTTAATTGAAATAAGTTATATTATTAACATCTGGGGTTTTTTTTAAAGATTTATTTATTGGGGGCTGGTGCTGTGACGTAGCGGGTATAGCTGCTGCCTGCAGTGCTGGCATCCCATATGGGTGCCTGTTCAAGTCCCAGCTGCTCCACTTGCAATCCAGCTCTCTGCTGTGGCCTGGGAATGCAGTAGAAGGTGGCTCAAGTCCTTGGACCCCTGCACCCATGTGGGAGACCTGGAAGAAGCTCCTGGCTCCTGGCTTCGGATTGGCTCAGCTCCAGCCAGAGCAGCCAGTTAGGGAGTGAATCAGCAGTTGGAAGACCTCTGTCTCTCACTCTCTGCCTGTCCTTCTCTCTGTATAACTCTGACTTTCAAATAAATAAATCTTTAAAAAAAAATTTATTTATTTATTTGAAAAACAGAGTTACAGAGAGGCAGATGCAGAGAGAGAGGGAGAGAAAGGTTCCACTGGTTCACTCTCCAAATGGCTGCAATGGCCAGAGCTGAGCCAATCCGAAGCCAGGAGCCTGGAGCTTCTTCCAGGTCTCCCACATTGGTGCCGGCCTGCAGCCAGGACTTGAACCGGCGCCCATGTGGAATGCCGGCACTGCAGATGGTGGCTCTACCCGCTAAACCACAGCTCCAGCCCCTGGATTTTTTATTAAAGACATTGTGTAAATATGAGATGCCTACCCCACCCCCCCAATTTGAGACACAGAAAGGAGAGAAGCACAGGCAGAAAACTCCCATCTGCCAGTCCACACCTCCAAATACCCATAGTAGCCAGGGCCAGAGTCAGGAGCTAGGAACCCAGTCCAGGTCTCCCACATGGGTGAAAAGGGCCCAGCTGTCTGGGCCATCACCTGCTGCCTCCCAGGATTTACATTGGTGGGAGGAAGCAGGCAACAGAGCTGGGAATCAAACCTGGCAGTGATGGGATTTGTATCTTAACTGCTAGGCCGAATGCCCATCCCCAGACATGAATTTTTGTTTAGCTGTTTTGAATCTTCATTCTCCTGGCCTTGGTTTCTAAATGACAATTAAAAAATACTTGAAGCCTGAAGAAGGAATATGTTGGTATATCGATGTGTAATAAAATTGTCTTAAATGTTTTTTCTTAAATTTTTTTCTTCATACCTACAATTAAAATTATTTTAAATTACTGAGTTTATTAGTGCTATACCTGTTACCACCTGATTTTCCCATAAAAAGCAGTAATTCACAAGAAGAACATGACATATGATTTATTTTAACTTCAGAAAAAAGGGAGAGGGTAGATGAAACACGAGCAGCGAAACTTTGATAATTCTGAAACCTAGGTGGTGTGTATGTGATGATTCCTGAGTCTATTCAGTCTTTGTGAATGTTGATCATTTGTCTTTCTTTTTAAAAAATTTTATTTTCTAATTTATTCATTTGAGAAATGGATAGAGTTCTTGTCCACTGGTTCACTCCCCAAGTGCTCACAATGGCCAGGGCTAACCTGGGGCCAAAGCCAGGATACTGGGCCCAGCGCTGTGGCCTGGTGGGTTAAACCGCCATTCCGGGTGCCAGTTTGAGTCCTGGCTGCTGCTCTGCTTCCGATCCAGCTCCCTGTTAATGTGCTTGGGAAAGTAGTGGAAAATGATGCAGGTGCTTGGGGCCCTGCACCCACATGGAAGACCCGGATGAAACTCCTGGCTTCAGCCTGGCTTAGCCCCGGTTGTTGCGGCCATTTGTGGTGTGAAACATTGGGTGGAAGATCTCTCTCTCTCTGTCTCTCCCTTTCTCTGTAACTCTATCTTCAAATAAATAAAATCTTTTAAAAAAATAGTAATCATGTTATTATTTGCTCTTTTCTTTTTTTTCACTAGGTTTGACGTAGGCCCGATTGTCAAGCAGGAAACCATTCCTGTGTCACCCAGGAGTACCGCGAAGGAGTTAGAAGTGGTGTTGTCAAGACTGGGGGCCAACATGGTAGGGTTCTGCAGTATCCCTCTGCTCTCCATTCATTTGGTTGTGATGAGCAATTCTGTGGCGTATAGTTTTAAGCTTCCATTTAAAAAATTATAAATAGAGTGGTTTCCATCCCTAACTTCCTAAAAATTAATCCACCATTTGTGATCGTGTGTAAGTCTTGGAGAATTTGTACAGAGCGGGTCCTTAATGAAAGCTTTCAAATGAAACAGGAGATGTCAGATGCTCCCTAGCACTTCAGAGTGAGGTCTTCAGACCACGCTTCCGGGTTTCACTCCGTACCTGTCAGACTGAACTAAAAGCCGGTTCCTAAGTGACTCAGCTTTCCTCCCACTTCTGGGCCTGAGTTCCAGGCATTTGCATCTCTCTGCCCTGGAATCCTGCTGCCCACCCTACCCATAGATAATCTTTCTTCTCTCTGTGGCTTTGTACAGCTCATTGAGTCTGCAAACAGTAGGGTCTTAATGATGCAGATGCTTAGTGATTAAATATTATTCCTATAAATCAGTTGATTTTTATACACTGCAAGAAAATATTTTCCAAGCTATGTGGATGGCACTTCCCATTCTGGGCACTCACCTTGAAAGTGACCTTACAATAGTGCATGCCTTGGCTGTGTGCCAAGTCTGTCCTCAAGGGATTTTTTTGTCTTACTTTCCCAGCTAACCTTGGAGATATTATTGCTGTCAGTTGTTTCACAGATTTATGACATTGAAGGCCAAAGACAAGTTAAATAACGATGCACAGCGAGACGACTAGTACTAGCAGAACTGGGATTTGGCCTGTGACTCCAGGGTACATTCTCAGTCCTCGAGTCCTTGCCTGCATCCTGTGGTGGGGAGGGAGCAGGGAGTGGGGAATCAAGCACGGCTCGTCCTGATGGCAAGAGCTGGCACAGCCGAGCAAAACCCAGCACTCTCTGGAAGCACATCAGTGACCTAGAGGTAGAGAGAGCCACGTCTCACTGAAACTGTCCTCATAGCCGGAGTCTGTTCACTGCCCAACCCTGCCACAGTCTCATGGAACAGACCTGTAATGCGTATCTGCTCATGCTCCTCGTTCATCGTGAGTGCATCACTTTTCTCTTGTAGCTTATTTCAGTTCTGAAGAATCTGCCTGAAAGTCTGAACCGTGCAAGGCAGCAGCCAGCTGAGGGGGTGACGTACGGTGAGTGAAAGCCACAGAGGCTGAACATCTTTGATATGGTTTGTCGTGATGCATTGAGCACATGGACGTCTTTGCTGTACTTTTGTTTTTTTGTTTTTTCTCTAAGATTTATTTACTTATTTGAGAAGCAGAGTTAGAGAGAGGTCTTCTATCTGCTGGTTCATTCCCCAGATAGCCACAACAGCAGAGCTCGGCCAATCTGAAGCCAGGAATCAGGAGCTTCTTCCGCATCTCACACGTGGGTGCAACAGCCCAAGCACTTCTGCTTTCCCAGGCTATTAGCAGGGAGCTAGATTAAAGTGGAGCAACCAGGACTCAAACCGGTGCCTGTATGGGATGCCAGTGCCACAGGTGGAGGCCCCATTTCTCCTTAGTTTTGACTAAAGGCTGAGTGCCCCTCTTTTATTTTGGAAAGTGTTATAACCCAGAACTAAATTGAAAGACTAGTATTGTAAATACCAGTTTTACCCCGGAGTCAACAATTACCACTATTTGGCCATGTCTCTCCGTCTCTGTCTCTGTGTGTGTGTGTGTGTGTGTGTGTGTGTGTGTGTAGTAAACTTTGCTTTTTCATTTAGTGGTTTGAATCATGATTTTTCATCTCTAAATTCTTTAGCATGCATTTCCAAGAAAAATTAATTCCCTAAAAGCATCCAGTGTCTAGTCCATATTTAAGTTTTCCTAATTGTCTAAAAATCTGTTTTATACTTTTTTGAAGATTGTAATTAGAAGCTGTTATTAGTTTTAAATTTCTAGTCTTTTTTCTTTTTTAAAGGGAGAGAGCAAGGGAGCTATTCCACCTGCTAGTTCACTCCCCAAATGCTTTTTTTTTTTTTTAAGATTTATTTATTTATCTAAAAGTCAGAGTTACACAAAGAGAAGGAGAGGTAGGGGGAGAGAGAGGTCTTCCATCCACTGGTTCACTTCCCAATTGGCTGCAACAGCCAGAGCTGTGCCAGTCCAAAGCCAGGAGCCAGGAGCTACTTCTGGGTCTCCCACGCAGGTGCAGGGGCCCAATGACTTGGGCCATCTTCTACTGCTTTCCCAGGCCATAGCAGGGAGCTGGATCGGAAGTGGAGCAGCCAGTTCAGATTGGTGCCCATTTGGGATGCTGGCACTGCAGGTGGCAGCTTCACCCACTATGCCACAGTGCCAGCCCCAAATCTCTAGTCTCTTTAATCTAAAATGATTCCTCCACTATTTTTCCCTTGCTCTGTCACTGACTTTTTGAAAAGTCCAAGCCAGATAACTAATTGGTTCGTTTCCTGCCAGTGCTGTTTGGCTTGTTTTCTTCTGCTTGGGTTTACTGTAAATTAGAAATTCTAAAGGTTTAATGAGATTCAGGTTTAAAGTTTTTGGAAAGAGTATTTCATAGATGATACTGTGTTTCCATGACATTTGTTTCACTTCGTTTTTTTTTTTTTTTTTTTTAACACCCACTGTGGTTGTTTTTTTTTTTTTTTAAGATTTTATTTATTTATTTGAAAGTCAGAGTTACACAGAGAGAGAAGGAAAGGTAGAGAGAGAGAGAGAGAGGTCTTCCATCCGCTGTTTCACTACTCAATTGGCTGCAATGACTGGAGCTACGCCGATGCAAAGCCAGGAGCCAGGAGCTTCTTCCAGGTCTCCCATGCAGGTGCAGGGGCCCAAGGACTTGGGCCATCTTCCACTGCTTTCCTAGGCCATAGCAGAGAGCTGGATTGGAAGTGGAGCAGCCGGGTCTCGAACTGGCACTCATATGGTATGCCGGCACTGCAGGCAGCGGCTTTACCTGCCGGCTCCTCACTTTGGTTTTAATTTAATTTTAATTTAATTAATTTAATTTGGTTTTAAAATTTTTCTTTATGATTTTACTTTTTGAATAGACGAAATATATAATGATTCAAAAGCTAAAACTAATTAAAAGGGTACATACGGAGAAACCTCACTTCAAATCCAGGTTGCACCAAAGCTAATGAAGCTAAGTTTGGTCACTTGGTTGAGATGGTGCCCACCAGATTGTCCAATATAAAGAAAATGTTTTCCCTTTTGCAATTAGCAGGTAACCCATGGGTTAATATTTTAATTTTTAAAAAAATTTTTTTTGACAGGCAGAGTTAGACAGAGAGAGACAGACAGAGAGAAAGGTCTTCCTTCCGTTGGTTCACCCCCCAAATGGCCACCAAGGCTGGCGCGCTGCGCCAATCCAAGGCCAGGAGCCAGGTGTCTCCTCCTGGTCTCCCATGCGGGTGCAGGGCCCAAGCACTTGGGCCATCCTCCACTGCACTCCCTGGCCACAGCAGAGAGCTGGCCTGGAAGAGGAGCAACCGGGACAGAATCCCGCACCCCAGCCGGGACTAGAACCTCTGCCGGCGCCACAGGCAGAGGATTAGCCTAGTGAGCCACGACATGGCCACGGGTTAATATTTTAAAGCTGTGCGAACATCCCTATTTATTTATTTGCTATGTATAACATAATATCACTATTATAATACTAGTATTATTGCTTACAGTAAAACACTGAGTAAGATACAAACTTTCTTTGAAGGTTTTTTGGTTGGTTTTATTGTTTGGTTTTTGACCTTAGGAGATAAACTGCTAAGGGTATACAGTCAGATTATAATGTTTGTTTCTTTTTTAATTCAACCTTCTTTTTTTCTTATAAAAAGGTGTATTTTGTGGCCAGCATTGTGACTCAGCAGGGTAAGCTGATGCCTGCAATGTCAGCATCCCATAGGAATGCTGATTCATGTAATCAGTCCTGTTTAAGAAAGGGTATTTTTGTGTAGTCTGACTTGTCCATCTTTAATTGTTTCTGGACTTTGAATCACAGTTAGAAGAGCATTTTCTACTCTCAATGTTATAAACAAGTTCACTCATTTTTTAAAATATTTATTTGAAAGAGTTACACATATATATGTATATATATATATACATATATATATATATGTAAAGAGATCTACATATAATATAGATCATATATTTAAAGAGGTCTTCCATCCACTGGCCAGGGCTGGGTCAGGTTGAAGCCAGGAGCCAGGAACTTCTTCCATGTCTCCTACATGAGTGCAGGTGCCCGATGACTTGGATCATCTTCCAGTGCTTTCCCAGGTGCATTAGCAGGGAGCTAGATCAGAAGTGGAGCAGCTGGGACTCAAACCAGTGCCTATGTGGGATGCCAGCATTGCGGATGTTTTCTTTTGGTACTTGCTTGGTTTATTTATTTTTACTTTATGTTATGGAAAATTTTGAACATGTATATAAATGTTGAGAGAATATTGTAATGAATTCTCTTGAATGCATTACTCAACATCAGTATTTATCAATTCATGGACATTGAACCTGATAATCATTCTTGTTCTTGGCTTTATCTTATAGCTCCTAAGATATCTGCTGGCACCAGCTGTATAAAATGGGAAGAACAAACTTCAGAGCAAATATTCAGACTTTATCGTGCCATTGGAAATATAGTAAGTTGGCGAGTCAGGTTATAGTTTTATCTGTTTGGGTTTTCTTGTGCATTTTATTTGCTTTGTAAATGTATTTAGGAATGAATCTGAAACTGGACCTAGGAAATCTGAAATTTTTCTTTTATGTATTGTTTAAACTTTAAGTCTTTATAGAGGCTTTAGAATTCATAAAACATTTCCAAGTATCTATTTACAATGTCCTATAACCAGGTTTTATTATCCCATTTCATAGACACTTGGAATGAAAATGAGATGACTAACTTAGGGGTATGCAGTCACTACACAACAAACCTAAGTCTTCCAACTTCTAATCCATAGCTTTTTCCAGTATGTCTTTCTGCTTTTGGCCAATTTTCTATAATCAAATTCCCAAATAACTGATTTCCACACATGGTACACAGAGTAGAGCTGTAACAGCTTATTAAAATTTCTAAGTTAGGCTGGTGCCGTGGCTCACTAGGCTAATCCTCCCCCTGCAGCGCCGGCACCCCGAGTTCTAGTCCCAGTTGGGGCGCCGGATTCTGTCCTGGTTGCTCCTCTTCCAGTCCAGCTCTCTGCTGTGGCCTGGGAAGGCAGTGGAGGATGACCCAAGTGCTTGGGCCCTGCACCCGCATGGGAGATCAGGAGGAAACACCTGGTTCTTGGCTTCAGATTGGTGCAGCGCGCCGGCCTTGGCGGCCATTTGGGGGGTGAACCAACGGAAGGAAGACCTTTCTCTCTGTCTCTCTCACTCTCACTGTCTAACTCTGCCTGTCAAAAAAAAATTCTAAGTTAAATTCTCAGTTCATTGATAAGTTTGTGAGTTGTGTTTTTTTTTTTTTTTTTCCATTTTGATAGCCTCTTATATTATTGGCACTCTGGGTTTACCAAATCGATGACTCTTTTTTTAGATTTATTTGTATTTATTTGAGAGGCAAAGTTACAGAGAAAGAGAAGGAGAGAGATCTTCCATCTGCTGACTCATTCCCAAATGGCCACAACAGCCAGGGCTGGACCAGGCCAAAAGCCAGGAGCCAGGAGCTTCTTCCAGGTCTCCTACGTGGGTACAGGGGCCTAAGCACTTGGGCCATCTTCCACTGCCTTCCCAGGCCACAGCAGAGAGCTGGATCAGAGGAGGAGCAGCCAGTGCTCGATCCGGTGCCCACATGGGATGCCTGTGTTGCGGGCAGCGGCCTAACCTGCTGCACTGCAGTGCCGGCCCCCGTGGAGGGCTTCTCATACTGAAATCGGGTAGGATGTCCTCACCATGCCAGATTCTTCCGTGCAGCCTCGTGTTGTTGTGACTATCATCCCCTGTTAAAGTTGAGTGTATTGAGATTAACCGTAGATAGTGAACTGTTACTGAGTTTTGCTCGAGGTCCCGTTGTCACTTACTAAGTCAGAGCTAAGTTTTGAGCAAGATCTGTCCGAGTGCAGATGCTGTGCTCTTCCTGCTGCAGCAAAGTGGCGTCAGGAAACAGGGACTTCAGAGGCGGAAGAGCTGGGTTCTCCTCTCTGCTGCTTTGTAGACTGTGACTTAGGAGACAGGGGAGTTATTTGACCTCTGAGCTTTAGTTTGTTCGTGGGAGGATAAGAGCTGATAGAATGCACAGAAAACACACAGTACCTGGCACAGAGCAAGCACTCATTCAATGACAGCTGCTATTATTCATCCTCCCAGTAAACAAAACAGTCGCTGAAGGCCTGTTGTGTGTCAGGTGATGTGCTAGGGCCTACAGATAGAAGTGGTGTGGGAGGACAGGCACCAAACAAGCCAATCAATAAGAAAAATCCCAGAGAATGTGAGAGTTCCATATGGTAAACTGAAGACTCTCTCAGGTGGGTAGACAGAGAGGCCTCGAGCTGATGTTTAGGCTGACGTCTGAGTGGTGACTGTGCTTTGGAAGTAGCATTGATAGGATTTTGACCACGTTATGTTTGAGATACTTGGAAGACATCCGGGTAGAAAGAGCAAGCAGACAACTTTCTGAGCTGCAGTTTAGGCCCATAGCTTGAAATCTTTTCACATCTCTCTCTTCTGCACCTGCCCTCTCCCATTCCCTGGGAAGAGCTGTGTGCTGCGAAAGGCTGGGCACCTATCTCGGAGTCGGCATGAGCTGCTCGGCAAGACCTCCCTGTTCTCTGAGAGTTACTTCTGCAGCTCCAGCGTGCCCATCCGTCAGGGTCAAAGGAGGTAAACGGATTTAAATCCGTGCCAGCATAGGGTTTTGCCAGCAGTGATAGTGGGTACTGCAATTGTATTCTCACCATCCCTCTCCTTTCTGCAGTGCTCTGATGAGAAGGTGAGTTTCCCTCCGCAGGCCCAAGAGCTGTATGTTCTGAGCCTGTGCCCGGCATGTTCATTATTCTCAGTAAACGTGAGTCCTTTTCAGTCAGCATGATTGAGAAATCCTTTGAGGGGCTGGCATTGTGGCACAGCAGGTTGAGCTGCCGCCTGCGATGCCTGCATCTCACGTGGGAGGGCCAGTTCCAGTTCCTGCTGTTCCACTTCCAATCTAGTTTCCTGTTAATGTACCTGGGGGCGGTGGATAATGGCCCAGGGACTTGAGCCCCTGTCACCTGTGTAGGAGACCAGGATGGAATTCCTAGCTTCTAGCTTTGGCCTGGCCCAGCTATTGTGTATATTTGGGGAATGAACTAGCAAATGGAAAATATTCTGTCTGTCTCTCTCCCTTTCTCTCTTTCATCCCTTCTGTCTCTGTCTCCTTGCATTTCAAAGGACTAAATAAATAAATCTTTAAAAATTGAAAATAAAATAAAAATGGAGCCCATGCTTTGGCATGGCAGTAAAAGCCACCATCTGCAGCACTGGCATCCAGTGTGGGTGCCAGTTTGTGTCCCAGCTGCTCCACTTTCAATCCAGCTCCCTGCTAATGCACCTGAAAAATAAGTAAATTTAAAAATTAAAATAAATTTAAAAAACTTACTCATGGAAAAAAAATCACTGCCTCCAAAAGTAAAAATCAGCAAATTAAGAAAAATATTCATAACACATACAAGAGTTAAAAGGGTACTTTCCTAAATAAAAAAAAAAAGATTTTTGCAAATTAGTAAGAGATGAACAACCCATTTTTTAAAAAAAATACAAGCAAAGGAGCAAAGGGCATAAATACACAGTTTACAGAGAAATAAGTAAACAGTAAAATAAATATGTGAAAAGTTCATCAGTCTCACTAACCATAACCAGCAATAGATTGCTTTTTATTTTTTACTTATCAAGGCGATTTAACAGCAAAATATTGTTGCTGTATAACTCAGGCATCCCACTTAAAAGCCCACACTACAGCTATTTCCCAGAATATGTAAGTGCTCAAAGGTAAACCTGCAAGGCTGTTTATATTTTATAATAGCAAGAAATTGAAAAATATCCATCATAAAGGCATTAATTGCATAAATTATGAATCTGTAGACAAGTGTGTAGTAAAGAAAAGTTGTCCATGTAAAGTAACAAGGTCCTTGTAAACCTGTGTTCTAGAATTTTGTAATAATATTTGTTGGCAAACAGGGAAATCCACTTCAAACTTAACAGTGGTTACATCTGGGGGTGGGAATATAGACTTGTCACTTTTTAAAAAATGATTTTAACATAACTGCTATAATGCTTGGCATTTGTTAAAGTGTACATTTTAATTGGAAATATTAGATACAAACATCGGTTTAAAAATAATGTTCAAGATCTTACAAATCCTGGAGGATCATGCTTACATTCTGGGTCATAAATTTAATGGCTGAGTTCCCACTTTCTCTGTAAATGGGAGAAAAATCAGAGCAGATTAACACAAAATAGGAGGGCTTGTGGGTTGAGTGTGTTCCGTTCTTACCCCTGCTTGTATTTTATTTGCAGATTCCGTTGCAGACACTCTGGATGGAGAATACTGTTAAACTTCTGGATTTGGTAGAAGTTAACAATTCAGTCCTTGCTGGTACTAACTGAACAGTTGATGTTGAAGATGTTCTCACTACAGTCTATTAGAAATTGTGTTCACTTTACATAGTTACTAAAAATACAGATTCTTTCTGTTTCGGTTCAGTAATGATAATAGTCTACATTCACTTCTCTTATTCTTTGCAATGTCTGTTCACGTGTACTTTCATATTTAGTCATCACGAGAACCGGGGAAGTAGGCAAACTCCTAGTGCTATCCTGTTTAAAGCTCTGTGATTTCATACCTAAAGGTGTGGTTAGCTCCTTTCTGTGAATATCACAATGAACGTATGCAGGCTGCCCAGTGAGAATCTGGGCCAGGGCACTGGCTGCACACTGCAGGTGTGTGTTCTAGGGCCAGTCAGCGCCCTTCTAAAGTGGTAGGCAGGAGGGTGAGCTGCAGAGCTGGGCTAGTCCAGGGACGGTTAGAGCTCCCCAGGTGCCTAGGAACTGGGGCTTGCCCGGGCTAAGATGGGAGGACCAGCTTGAATCTTCCAAGGTAGCCTGTGTTTCCCCAAATGGCCACACCAAACTTGCAGATTCGGCACTTCAGGCGGTCACCAGGAGATGGGGTGAAGGCCTTATAGCCAATGTATGGGAAGCTGCCCTTTGGGTTCATGATGTACAAGTGCACCATGCCTGACTCACTGTAACTGTGGAGGTAGAGTCAGGACATCAGCAAGGTCGTCCTTGCCAGTATTAGTTCTGCCTCTCAAGGTGGTTTTTGATTTTCAAGGAGTACCATGAAGTTGCATAATTATTTTTCTCTTTCTCTCTCCCGCATTCTTCAGATCTGAAACTAACAGGACAGACTGTTACTCCAGGTTCAGTAATATACCACAAGCAGTTGCAAATACTGCTGGTTTGTTGCAAGGTATATTTTCCTTTAGTTTGAAATTCCCATTCTTGTTTTACTGAGTTTATAGTTTGTATCATTTATCATTTTTAGTTCAGATTTAACTCAGTCACTGCCTGTGCATCATATTGGGCCTATAGACAGCTTGATTTTCTTAAGAAATGCTGGAATTCCTAGCATAACTTTTTGCGAGTGATGAAATTTTGCCAAGGCAATATTGTCACTCAGTAAAGAAGATTCAGTGACTTGAATGCTGTCTGAGTACTTGGATTATTCTAGCTTAACCAACAGGCTCTTGTGCTTGGTAACGTGAAAGACAGTCATATCCATGTGTCTGGCTGAGCTACCGTAGGGCAAGGCTCCTGCTTGCTTTTGTTGCCCAGCAGTGCTTGGAGAGATTTATGAGCTGTGCAAAGCGACTCTGCAACCACTGCACGGCATGTTCCTGAGAAGCGTTCCACCTTCCGTTTCCTGTCATGTGCTAATGCTCAGGAAGAGCATGGAGCATGTTTAAAATGGGTGATGGGTTGACATGCCGTACACAGACCGTGGGGCTGGAAGGCCTCTTCATCCCCCTGCAGTGGCTCCAGGTGCCTTGTTGCATGTCTGTGTCCTGCTGACCTTGGCTGGGTCTGCCTAGGTAGAGTATCGAGTGTGGTTTGCTCTCAGAACAGGGAGGCAGGACACGTGAATTTGAGACTCACCAGTTGTGCCACCTCAGACAAATAGTCACCCACCCCTGGGCCTCGGTTTGCCCTTCGAAAGTGCCTTTGCCCTTTCAAAAGTGCTTCGAAAGTGACACTGCTTCTGCCTACCAGTTGATTATGTTTAAATGACCGCTCACAATAAGACACAGACGTGCTCAGAGAGCCCTACAGCACCATGCAAATGGCACACACTTTGCTCTGCTCCCGTCAAGTGTAAATAAGTGTAGTCTCCCCCTGTAATAAACTTTTAGAGCCAAGGGATTGTGTGTGTGTGTGACCCAGTACGGTGCTATTTGCAGCTGGGCATTTTGTAAAGGTTGGTTTGCTTCCATGTTAAAAACTTTATAAAATGTCCTTAGTTTTTCAATTTGGCCACCCCTGCCTATTCACTGTCTGTCTCCTGTCCTTTAGGATGGCTGGATTGGCGTCCGATCAGTAATGCTTAAGAAAACACTCACAGCTACTGACTTCTACAATGGATATCTGCACCCTTGGCGCCAAAACAATTCCCAAGCTCCACCAAGCCAATGCAGATTTCAGACTCTCAGACTTCCAGCGAAGAAGAAGCTGGCGAAAACAGTTGTTGCCATGCAACAGTGCATTAAGTAGGAAGAAGATGGACAAGAACCTATTCCATATTTGTCACTTATTAAAAGCCTTATTTATAAGGAATTGCCTTGACTTTTAAAATAAAAGATGACACTGTTGGAGAAAGAGAAGATTACTGTCAAAAACATGGAAGGCCTCACTTTCCACTTGTTGAGTAATGGTAAAAAGCAGCATTTTTTTGAATAACAGAAGTTTAAATAAAATTTGGATGTATAATGTCAACCTCAAGGAGATTATATCATGCCCTAAGAGCAAGGGCAACTAACTGGCATGTGAATAGATTTTGAAGACAGGTTATTTTTAAAAACTGTGCAACTGTTGATTTTTTAAAATTAATTAATTTGAGTGGCAGAGAGAACTCTCATCTGTTGGGTTCCCCCCTCCCCTCCCAAATAGCTGTAACAGCCTCCAGCTGGAGCCACAGCCAGGAACTGGGAGCTCACTCCAGGTCTCCCATGTGGGTTACCTGAGCCATCACCACTGCCCTCCAGGGTCTGCACTGGCAGGGAGTTGGAGCCAGGGATCAGAGCCAGGTGCTCCAGTGTGGGATACGGGCATCTCAATTACTAGGGCCCCCTGCTGGGGGGTTTGCGATCCTTCCATGTTAGCTTTTCCTGCCTAGAGTTACCAGCTGAAGTTTTTTACTCAATTGTTCATTCAACAACAGAGTGATTGTATAATTGCTCATCCAACTTCAATGAGAAGAAGGAAGCACTTAGAATAATTACTCCAGGCCAACAGGCATAAACCAGGACTCTCCCTGTCCAGGCAAATGAGGTTGCGTGGACATCCTGGGTATTGAGTGTTTGTTGTGTAACCAGCCTCAGGAGGCAACCATGAAAGCAGACGTAATGCCATCACGAGCATATAATGGAGACACCAGAGCAGGTGAACAGTGTGAGGTTCCAAACCATGAGTCCACTGTGCGGGCAAAGGCCTGAGGGGCACTGTCGCACCGCAGAGGCTCAGGGGCTGCAGAGGAGGCTCTTACGTGCGGTCTGCTAATGGGTCCTTTGGCTGGGCAATGGGAGCGTGGTTACCCTTGTATTATTTTGCTTCAAACCATAAATCTGTATAGTCTCTTACAGGGATGAGCTAGTCATTTATGAGAGTACTCCAAAAAGTTCCTAGAAATGGAATTAAAAGTTAAGGTTATGTTGCTGCAAAAAAAAAATCTTGAAATACATGCACAATTTTTTCATAATGTGCAGTTTTTCCACGAACTTGGGAATGCCTCCTGTGCAGTTTGTTGGTTCCTTTTCTCCGGGGGCCCTTGACTAATGCATCACCACGGTCTAACTACTCTCTCGTCCCGTCTCGGGCCCGCAGCGGTATTTGCTCCTCTGGGTGGCAGCAGCAGCTTGCGGAGCTGCCTTAGACCAGGAGGAGGAGAACAGTTTTAGGACAGGAGTGGATCTGTGTAACTCGGAATGTCATTTTAGAAGTGAAACGCGGCCCACCACCAGCTGGCTAGTGACAAGCCCAGCATGAGGACCTGCGGACTGCAGGAGACTTGATGAGAAGAAAGGATTTACTCTGGTTTAGAAGACGAAAGCAGTGTCTCTGAGCATAAAATCGAGCTCCTGAGAACAGCTGCCAAAAGGATGTTTACTGCGTTTATAATTGTTTTTGAAGGCAATACAACCTGGTTTCATCAAACAGTCTCTAGGTGAGAATACAGTGCAGCATTGACAGGCAGTCCTAGAGTCTGCAGACCCAGCCTGGCTCCGGCCGCCACTGCATGTAACCCGGGCTGCTTTGTAACCTCTCGGGGCCTGTTTCCATAGCCACTAATGGACAGATTGTACCTGCTCTGCCAGGGCTGTCATGAGGACCAGAAATGATAGGACACCTAGCCAGTGCCTGGCTCACAGCGGGTTCTCAGTACCATTGCTATTAGCTAACATTTACCATGTTCCAGCGCGAGACTAAGGACTGGATCTGAACTCTCTACTTTTATTTTTGCAATAAACTTGTGAAGCAGAGACTGGCAAGATCCTCATCTTTCCAGAATGCCAGAATTCACACTCCAGCCATCTGACTCCGATGTGCAGGCCTGACTGCTCCACTACCATGCCTCTTTGCACGCTTTTTTTTTTTTTTTTTTTTTTTTTTTTTTTTTTAAGATTGATTTGTTTGTTTGTTTGGAAGGCAGAGGGAGAGGGGGAGATGGTCCATCTGCTGGTTCACTCCTCAAATGGCCACAATGGCTAGAGCTGGGCCGATCAGGAGTTTCTTCCAGGTCTCCTACATGGGTTCAGGGGTCCAAGCAGTTGGGCCGTCTTCTACTGCTTTCCCAGGCACATTAGCAGGGAGCCGGATTGGAAGTGGAGCAGCCGGGTCTCAAACTGGCATCCGAATGAGTGTGGGTACTGCAGGCACCACAGCACCGGCCCCTGCAGGCATTTTTGTCCTTGATTAAGGAATGTAAGGTGTTAGGCTTCTGTGCTCAGAAATGAATTGAAGGACATGTAGATACTGTGCTAGACAATTTCATAAAGATTTTAGTTTTTTCTCTTATTTTTTTACTTCTAAGATTCATGAAATTTTCTGGAACCCTGCAGAGAAAAGCTGCTTCTTTTAGGGCAAAATAGTGCAACTCTTGTCTTGTGGTGCTCTGATTGCTGTTCTTCCAGAAGGTGGATTACAGGGCGGTGTTCGGCCCAGCAGCTAAGGTGCCAGTTGAGACGCCCACACCTCATTGGAGAACCTGAGGTTCATGCTGAGCTCTGGCTCCCGACTGCAGCTTCCCTCTAGGGCAGACCTTCAGAGGCACTGGGGACAGCTCAGGTAATTGAATCCTGCCACTCACACGGAGACCTGAATTGAGTTCCTAGCTCCCAGCTTTAGCCTAGCCCAGTCCTGGCTATTGTAGTCATTTGGGAAGTGAACCGACAGGTGGGAGCTCAATCTGTCTCTCTGCTTCCAAAAGAGAGAAAAGGAAAGAGAAAATTACTCATTGTTACGTTGGCAGGTGATAGAAAAGATGGGGTACCTTTGCTTAGGAACTTTTAAAGGGTAATAATGAGCAAACTGTTTCCAATAATAAAATTTTGCTTTCTGTTAAATAGGCATTTCTGTTTGTGGGTCCTTTTTAGAAGCAAGGAGGGGAATACAATAAAGAGCAGCTCTGGGAAGGGCTGTGTAATGTCTTTAAGCGTGTCTCATACATGTACAGAATTTGGAAAGAACTTTATATCATGTAGTCCAAACTTGGATTTGTGTTTCAGAGAAGGGAGCCAGCCCTACAGATAACTGCCTTGCCCAAGGATAGAACTCAGGTTTGCGTCCCAGATGACAGTAAATTATCAATTACAAGTAACTGTATATAACTTCGGTTTGATGCAGCTTTTAGGGAGAACAGCCATGTCAGCATCTTTGTCAGGTGGTTCTAGAATGCCCACTCCACGCCTGCTCTCTAATCCACTGCAGTCTGCACTTGACAGAGTTGGTCTGGCAGTGAGGGGACAGCTTCACTTCCGATCCTGGCTCTCTGCATAATTTGGTGGGCAGCACTGCAGTGAGTTGTGCGCTGGGAAGCTTCGAGTGGATGGTATTACAAGGATTGGATTAGTCTGGAAAATCAAGTACTTCTCTTTCAGTGTTTCACACGTCCATGGCCCTGGGGGTAAAGAGGGGTGTCCACTCCGACGGGAGGCATCCAGGTAGAGGGCAGAGCATGTACCAAAGTCTAGAGGGCTGAGGCATCATGGGAGTGGAAGGGAGCACACTGGGCTCATGGAGAGCAGAGTGGAGAGCCAGACCTGCCGTAGTCTGTGTAACGTGGACTTTAGCTGGAAGGCAGTGGGGAGCTACTGAAGGATTCAGAGCAAGGAAGCCACGTGGACGTAGTTGCTTGTAATTATTTATTTATTTATTTGACAGGGTGGACAGTGAGAGAAAGAAAAAGGTCTTCCTTTTCCGTTGGTTCACTCCCCAATGGCCGCTGCGGCCGGTGCACCATGCTGATCCGAAGCCAGGAGCCAGGTGCTTCTCCTGGTCTCCCATTTCTATCAGACAAATAATACATAAATGCGTGTTTACATAAACTAAAATACTAAATCCAGAGTCAAAGTTCTCCTGTGCCATCCCCTTTCCCTTCATCCCCAGTTCCTCCTCCTCCTCGGAAACCCTATACTATTTGGTTTCTATCTTCCTCAGCATTTAAGAAGTACATTTGCTTTTAATATATGTGCATATAAATATACCTAGGGTTATTGTGAAGGTGTGTTTTAAAATATTATCCTGTCAAAATATTTGGAGAGCCAGCCGGCCATCTGTTCACTTTTCATGGTACAGCATATTTTGCGAACATTCCAGTTTTGTAATGAGATGTGCACACAGGGAGTGGTGCCGTGGGAACCATGGGGCCTGCCCCAGCCAGGACAGCTGCAAGGGGCTACAGCCGTGTCCCCCGGGGCCGCCTGCACTGTGGCCCGCGGGGTCAGAAGTGTGCGGCCTGCAGTTGTGCAACAGGACAGCTGGGATTCACAGATATTAAATGTTCTTTGTTGGGATTCAGGGAGCAGACGGTGCTTACCATGTGTCGGGGAACAACTGAGGACACAACCGGGACCGGTGGTCCTTTACTAAGGGAGACAGAACCTTCATTATTTTCATGTTTGGTCTTTGTTACAGAATAAGAGAGTAGATCGTTTGTGAAATATATCTACATTATGATAGGTTATTAGGTTAAAAGTTCTTAGCACCATGTAGCAGAACAAGGACTTCTTTATGCAGGTATATCCATAAGCTTAGATCTCATGAAAGCTATTGCTAAAGAGAGGTTTAGGGATATGGGGGTCTAAGTTTGATGAAAAGATAGGGATAGATTTATTTACTCAATACATTCAGTATGTCCTTTGTGTCTACTGATGCCTGGCCAGATCATGAACTAAGGCACTGGTTCAATCATGCTGTTCCCTTTGCTCCGGGCAGCTTCTGGTCCAGCAGGACAGATGGAAACCAGTGTAACAAACGCCCACCATAGGTTTTAGGCCCAGCCCGTGGCTTGTTGCTGATTCTGTTAGGTAGGAAGTTAGATATGAGCTTATGTGTGTGTAACAGGCCTAAAGAGAAGACTTCTATGTCCAGCATATGCATCTGCATCTCAAAGTCATCCTGATAATGTTTCCGGTATTCACATCCTGCCCTGCCCCCTTCTGCCCCCTGCTACCTGATAACCTGCCAGGTGGGGGGGGGGGGTCCCCCGCCCCTTCTGC